GCTGCAGCCCAGAGATGCTCTACCCCAGTGGTTCTCAACCTGTGGGTTGGGACCCCATTTGGGATCGATCGACCATTTCATGGGGGTCGCCAAGCAAGGCTGTCCACCATATTTTTTGTCTGCCATTTTTTCCCCTTTTCCGACAGGTGCCTTACCTCCCTTGGGCTGGGCCAGCTGGTGGTCGGCCTGCTCCGTCTCTGCCGCTTGCCAGCTATGCCTCGGCCGGCGCAGGGGGCGGAACCACGCATGCGCGGCGATCCCGGGCAGGGAAAGTCCTCGACTTACGACCGGTTGGGTAGTCCTCGACTTACGACAGGTTTAGTCCTCGACTTACGACCGGTATAGTCCTCGACTTATGACCGGTTGGGGTCGCGGCATTAAAAAGGTTGAGAACCACTGCTCTACCCCGGGTTTCCTTTGGAGGGCAGCTCTTCCTCCCAAGGAGGCGGGGCCCTGCCTGGCCCTAGATTAGAGTGCACAACAACCTGCCCAGGTAGGCTGGCGAAGGCACTGCAGAGGCTGATTGGCAAGAAAGTTTGGAGTTTATAGTTCAGCAACATCTTGCTTCCGTTCACACAACACAACTCCCTCCATGGGATCTAACACCCACATTCACTTGTGCTAAGTGTGGCAGTGTTGAGAAGGGCTGGATTTCCGGGGCTTTGCCTGTCCTAGTCCAGCCTCCCTTACTTCATCTATCTGAGGATGGCCTTACATGGTGCTGACGTTTGGAAAACCCATTTAGATTATATGAATGAGATGGACAGCCGCAAAAAAGAGGATAAATTAGCCCTAGATTCAGTCATGTCACACTTACTACAACTAGGCACCAAGTGGGATGATCATTTATTTATTAGTCTATTATAGCAAAGAGATTTCCCTCAATGAAAAGAGGGAATCCAGGACACAGAATCGGGTTTCATTTTATACGCCATATAGTAAAAAAAGTACAAAACAAGACTTGATTGGATGAAACAAATCATCCTACTGAGTTAAGCCAGAGACATGGATAGTAACATCCCATAATATTAAGCATAACCATTGAAATGTGGATTGCATTAAAAGGAGAACGCTGATATGGGGAAAAGTGTCACGAGTCAAATGAGGCTGTTATTAAAAGGTACAAGTTCAACCACAGAGTTTCAGTTCGGCATTTAACACAATCATTCCCCAGCATCTTGTAGACAAAATGGGCCTTTTAGGCTTAAACGCTCTTTGTGTAACTGGATTCTTGATTTTCTTACCAACAGGCTGCAATATGTGTAAGTTGAAACAAATACCTCTAATACCATTATCTTGAGCACAGGTTCTCCTCTGGGCTGCGTCCCAAGTCCGCTGCTGTTCACCCATGACTGTTGTGCTAGGTTTGCCACCACCCATATTGTCAAGTTCGCAGATGATACAAAAGTAGCGGTCCTTATTCATGATGACAATGAGGGAGCTTTCCGCAAGGAGGTTGAAGGGTTGGTGAACTGGTGTAAGGAAAACAGCCTAGTTTTAAATACCAGAAAAACCATAGAAATCATTGTCGATTTCAGAAAAGGCAGGCACAGCCACACTTCTCTGTGCATTAATGATTCACCTGTGGAGATGGTTACCAGCATCAAATTCCTGGGTGTGCAGCTAATGAGTAAAATTACATACCCCTTGAAAAAGTGTGTAAAATTATTCAAATTCCACTATTTGGCATCACAGAAGAGCACAATCATTAAACAGAGTGTAGCAATAAAAGGAATAATAAAATGGTGCTGTGCATAAGTTTACCTATTCCTGAATGTTTGGGCTGAGAATACAATATATACTCATGTTGACACACAAAGGTTGAGATGGCAATGAAGGGTAAGAGTTCGCAACTGTCTTACTGAGCTGTACTTAGGTCTGTGATAAATATTCAAGTAGCTTCTCAGTGTAGTATTGCAGGCAGACTGTCCACAGTCTGGAGTTTGATTCCGACAGCGCTCAAGCCTTGACTCAGCCATCCATCCTTCTGAGGATGGTAAAAGGAGGACCCAAATTGCTGGCAGCAATATGCAAATAATGTTTACCTTGGAAATCTCCCAGAGTGCGCTGTAAAGCACTATGTTGCGGCATATAAGCCTAAATGCTATTGTTATTTCAGTGGCACCGTTGTGACTGCAGGCATATTTAGCGTTTTTTCCCCCATGTGAATTCTTTGATGTCGATAGAGGTGTCTACAAACAATAAAGCTCTTTCCACACTCAAGGTATTTGTATTGTTTTTCTCCCGAGTGGATTGATGCTGACAAAGACTTCCCTTCCCACAGAAACCCTTTCCACGCTCTAGGCATTTATATGGTAAAGCTCTTTCCACACTGGAGGCATTTACAGGTAATCCCCCAGGTACGAGAGTTCATTTAGCTAGTTTTCACAAAAACAAATTAATTAAATTTATTCAGGAAGGGTACTTACATTAGAAATTCAGAATTGCGATCAAAAAGGTCTGTCTAGCCATGTGACGTGGTTTCAGTCTCTGCTGCAGTGGCGGCCATTTTTATCTCTCCGACTTTCCTTGGCTGTTCGGGGCTACGAGAAGCTGGCAGGGTTTGGGGGTTTTTTTTGTCCCTGGCCAAATGGCCAAACAAGTGCCGAGCCAGCTCCGGTTTTTGCTTTTGCTAGCTGAAGATGCTTGAGCTGGCTAGCAGCCGTTATTTTTTTAAAAAGGAAACTACAATGGTTCCATGCTAAATTGGTATTCATAAAGTTTCTCTGCTTATGTGGATTCTTTGATGTCTATAAAGGTTTCCCCTCACACTGAAGCTCTTTCCACACTCCAGACATTTATGCAGTTTTTCTCCTAAGTGGATTCTTTGATGTCTATAAAGGTGTCCCCTCTGATTGAAGCTCTTTCCACACTCCAGGCATTTAAATGGTTTCTCTCCTGAGTGGATCCTTTGATGTTTATAAAGGTTGCTCCTGTGACTGAAACTCCTTCCACACTCCAGGCATTTAAATGGTTTCTCTCCTGAGTGGATCCTTTGATGTGTATAAAGGTGTTCCCTCCGATTGAAGCTCTTTCCACACTCCAGGCATTTATATGGTTTTTCTCCTGAGTGGATCCTTTGATGTTTATAAAGGCTTCCCCTCTCACTGAAGCTCTTTCCACACTCCAGAAATTTATGCAGTTTTTCTCCTGAGTGGATTCTTTGATGTCTATAAAGGTGTCCCCTCTGATTGAAGCTCTTTCCACACTCCAGGCATTTAAATGGTTTCTCTCCTGAGTGGATCCTTTGATGTTTATAAAGGTTGCTCCTGTGACTGAAACTCCTTCCACACTCCAGGCATTTAAATGGTTTCTCTCCTGAGTGGATCCTTTGATGTGTATAAAGGTTGCTGCTCTGACTGAAACTCCTTCCACACTCCAGGCATTTATGCGGTTTCTCCCCTGAGTGGATCTTTTGATGTGTATAAAGGTTGTCCCTCCGATTGAAGCTCTTTCCACACTCCAGGCATTTAAATGGTTTCTCTCCTGTGTGAATCCTTTGATGTTTATAAAGGCTTCCCCTCAGATTGAAGCTCTTTCCACACTCCAGGCATTTATGCGGTTTCTCTCCTGAGTGGATTCTTAGATGCATTTTAAGATCTGCATTTCTCCTCCCTCCTGGATTCTCTGGGGATTCCCGGGTCTTCCGCCTGTCCCGAAGGACCCTCCGCCCTCCAGGCCCGTCTCGGGGTCTCCGCCCGTTTCCTGCTCCCCGCTTCTCCCTCCAGGCGGCCTCCTTTCCCGGAGTCCCCCTCGGCTCATCCCTGCCGGGCCTCCCCCGCCGTCTCCTCCCGGGGCTGCTCCGCGGGGCCTCCTCTTCTCTCGGGCGGCGCCTCCTTCCTTCCTTCCTTCCTCCGCCGGGCTCGCCCGTCCTCCTGCAGGGGCGAAGGGGGAGGAGGAGAGGCGGGTCAGAGTTTCGTCCCTTCCCCGGAGGGGAGTCCCAGGCCCGCCCGGGGAGGAAGGCCGAAGCCTCCGCCTCTCAGAGGGACTTTCCGGGCAGGCCTCCCTCCCAGCGCCCGTCCCGCCAGACCAGGCCTCGGCCTCCCCCCTCCCTCCGCCAGAGAGCCTCTCGGACTGCAACTCCCAGCATCCCTTGCGCCCCACCTGGGTCCGAGCCCGCCCGTGGATGAATCAATTAGGGCGCTTCAGTTCTATTCGTTCCCGGAAGTGGAGGCGGGACTTCCCTGCGAGGTCTGTTCCTGGCTGCTCTTCCTCTTTCCTTTCAATGGACCGCCCCAAGGAGTCCTCCTGCCAATCGCTGCCCTCTCCAGAGCGCCCAATCTACGCCCCGCTTCCCCCGATCCATCATCATATGGCGCCTCTCAGTGAGACTTTCCGGGCAGGCCTCTCTCCCAGCGCCCCTCCCGCCAGACCAGGCCTCGGGCTCCCCCCTCCTTCCCGGGGTTTTCTTCTCCGCCAGAGAGCCTCTCGGACTGCGACTCCCAGCATCCCCTGCGCCCTACCTGGATTGCGAGCCAGCCCGCGGCCGAATCAATTAGGCGATTAAGTTCTATTCTTTGCCGGAAGTGGAGGCGGGACTTCGCTGCGAGCCCTTTGCCTGTTACCGGTAGCTCCTCCTCTTTCCTTTGAATGGACCACCCCGAGGAGTCCTCCTGCCAATCGGTGCCCTCCCCAAAGCGACCAATCGTCGTCCTGCTTCCTTCCAACCATGAGCCACATGGCGCCTGCGCAGTAGCGAAGGTTCTTTCTCGGCAAGAGGGTGGGGTGAGGGGTTTCCCTTGAAGTCTTATTCCCCCCTCGCCCCCCCGCATCCCGGCAGCGGAGCTGAAAGGCCCCCTCCCCCCTCCCCAAACTGGGGGTCTCTCCCTGGGCAGGGCGGGGTGGAGCTGGGGGTCGCTTCCTGCCTTTTTCCTCCTGGGGGGCTCCGGCCAGGCTCCCCCCGCGGCCCCCAGGCAGCCCCTCTCCCGGGTGGGGGGGGTGGGAGCAGGGGAGGAGAAGGGCGGGGGGAGGTGAGAGCAGCCTTCCCATATCTGGGAGGGGGCGCGCGGAAGAGGAGGGGGCCCAGCTCTTCCCCGAAGCCCCCTGAAGGCGGGAGGAGCAGCGACGGAGGGAGGCTGGCCGGGGAAGGAAGGAGGAATCTCCTGACAGGGAGAACTGTTAACCGGTGGAACTATCTGCCTCCAGAAGCTGTGAATGCTGCAACACCGGAGGTTTTAAAGAAGAGACTGACAGCCGTTTGTCTGAAATGGTATAGGGTCTCCTGTCTGAACAGGGGGTTGGACTAGAAGACCTCCAAGGTCCCTTCCAGCTCTATACTATTCTATTCTATACTATACTATACTATACTATACACTATACTAATGTACTGTACTGTACTGTAGCTTGCCCTGCCATTGTGGGAGGGGCGTTATTTTTCTCATTGGTAGTTCCTCAATTAGGATAATTTCTGTTTGATTCTCTGGAGTTAGTCTCTGCTTATCTGAGTTTTGGAGAGGATGTAAATCCTCTTTTTATTCCCTTCGCTTTTTANCACACTCCAGGCATTTATATGGTTTTTCTCCTGAGTGGATCCTTTGATGTTTATAAAGGCTTCCCCTCTCACTGAAGCTCTTTCCACACTCCAGAAATTTATGCAGTTTTTCTCCTGAGTGGATTCTTTGATGTCTATAAAGGTGTCCCCTCCGATTGAAGCTCTTTCCACACTCCAGGCATTTAAAAGGTTTCTCTCCTGAGTGGATCCTTTGATGTTTATAAAGGTTGCTCCTCTGACTGAAACTCCTTCCACACTCCAGGCATTTATGCGGTTTCTCCCCTGAGTGGATCTTTTGATGTGTATAAAGGTATCCCCTCCGATTGAAGCTCTTTCCACACTCCAGGCATTTAAATGGTTTCTCTCCTGTGTGAATCCTTTGATGTTTATAAAGGCTTCCCCTCTCACTGAAGCTCTTTCCACACTCCAGGCATTTAAATGGTTTCTCTCCTGAGTGGATCCTTTGATGTGTATAAAGGCTTCCCCTCTGACTGAAGCTCTTTCCACACTCCAGGCATTTAAATGGTTTCTCTCCTGAGTGGATCCTTTGATGTGTATAAAGGCTTCCCCTCTCACTGAAGCTCTTTCCACAATCCAGGCATTTAAATCGTTTCTCTCCTGAGTGGATCCTTTGATGTCTATAAAGGTTGCTCGTGTTACTGAAGCTCTTTCCACACTCCAGGCATTTATGCGGTTTCTCCCCTGAGTGGATCCTTTGATGTGTATAAAGGTGTCCCCTCCGATTGAAGCTCTTTCCACACTCCAGGCATTTAAATGGTTTCTCTCCTGTGTGAATCCTTTGATGTTTATAAAGGCTTCCCCTCTGACTGAAGCTCTTTCCACACTCCAGGCATTTAAATGGTTTCTCTCCTGTGTGAATCCTTTGGTGTGTATAAAGGCTTCCCCTCAGATTGAAGCTCTTTCCACACTCCAGGCATTTAAATGGTTTCTCTCCTGAGTGGATCCTTTGATGTGTATAAAGGTTGCTCGTGTTACTGAAGCTCTTTCCACACTCCAGGCATTCATGCGGTTTCTCCCCTGAGTGGATCCTTTGATGTGTATAAAGGTGTCCCCTCCGATTGAAGCTCTTTCCACACTCCAGGCATTTAAATGGTTTCTCTCCTGTGTGAATCCTTTGATGTTTATAAAGGCTTCCCCTGTGACTGAAGCTCTTTCCACACTCCAGGCATTTAAATGGTTTCTCTCCTGTGTGAATCCTTTGATGTGTATAAAGGCTTCCCCTCAGATTGAAGCTCTTTCCACACTCCAGACATTTATGCGGTTTCTCTCCTGAGTGGATCCTTTGATGTTTATAAAGGTTGCTCCTCTGACTGAAGCTCTTTCCACACTCCAGGCATTTATGTGGTTTTTCTCCTGTGTGGATTCTTTGATGTCTACAAAGGTTTCCCCTCAGATTGAAGCATTTTCCACACTCCAGACATTTATGCGGTTTCTCTCCTGAGTGGATTCTTAGATGCATTTTAAGATCTCCATTTCTTTTGAAGGATTTTCCACATTCTGCGCACTCATATTTCTCTCCTCCTTCCTGGATTCTGTGGCGTTTCCCGAGTCTTCCGCCTCTTCTGAAGGACCCTCCGCCCTCCAGGCCCGTCTCGGGGTCTCTGCCGGTTTCCTGCTCCCCGCTTCTCCCTCCAGGCAGCCTCCTTTCCCGGAGTCCCCCTCGGCTCATCCCTGCCGGGCCTCCCCCGCCGTCTCCTCCCGGGGCTGCTCCGCGGGGCCTCCTCTCCTCTCGGGCGGCGCCTCCTTCCTTCCTTCCTCCGCCGGGCTCGCCCGTCCTCCTGCAGGGGCGAAGGGGGAGGAGGAGAGGCGGGTCAGAGTTTCGTCCCTTCCCCGGAGGGGAGTCCCAGGCCCGCCCGGGGAGGAAGGCCGAAGCCTCCGCCTCTCAGAGGGACTTTCCGGGCAGGCCTCCCTCCCAGCGCCCGTCCCGCCAGACCAGGCCTCGCCTCCCCCCTCCCTCCGCCAGAGAGCCTCTCGGACTGCGACTCCCAGCATCCCTTGCGCCCTACCTGGGTCCGAGCCCGCCCGTGGATGAATCAATTAGGGCGCTTCAGTTCTATTCGTTCCCGGAAGTGGAGGCGGGACTTCCCTGCGAGGTCTGTTCCTGGCTGCTCTTCCTCTTTCCTTTGAATGGACCGCCCCGAGGAGTCCTCCTGCCAATCGCTGCCCTCTCCAGAGCGCCCAATCTACGCCCCGCTTCCCCCGATCCATCATCATATGGCGCCTCTGAGTGAGACTTTCCGGGCAGGCCTCTCTCCCAGCGCCCCTCCCGCCAGACCAGGCCTCGGCCTCCCCCCTCCTTCCCGGGGTTTTCTTCTCCGCCAGAGAGCCTCTCGGACTGCGACTCCCAGCATCCCCTGCGCCCTACCTGGATTGCGAGCCAGCCCGCGGCCGAATCAATTAGGCGATTAAGTTCTATTCTTTGCCGGAAGTGGAGGCGGGACTTCGCTGCGAGCCCTTTGCCTGTTACCGGTAGCTCCTCCTCTTTCCTTTGAATGGACCACCCCGAGGAGTCCTCCTGCCAATCGGTGCCCTCCCCAAAGCGACCAATCGGCGTCCTGCTTCCTTCCAACCATTAGCCACATGGCGCCTGCGCAGTAGCGAAGGTTCTTTCTCGGCAAGAGGGTGGGGTGAGGGGTTTCCCTTGAAGTCTTATTCCCCCCTCGCCCCCCCGCATCCAGGCAGCGGAGCTGAAAGGCCCCCTCCCCCCTCCCCAAACTGGGGGTCTCTCCCTGGGCAGGGCGGGGGTGGAGCTGGGGGTCGCTTCCTGCCTTTTTCCTCCTGGGGGGCTCCGGCCAGGCTCCCCCCGCGGCCCCCAGGCAGCCCCTCTCCCGGGCGGGGGGGGGTCGGAGCAGGTGAGGAGAAGGGCGGGGGGAGAGGTGAGCGCAGCCTTCCCATATCTGGGGGGGGCGCGCGGAAGAGGAGGGGGCCCAGCTCTTCCCCGAAGCCCCCTGAAGGCGGGAGGAGCAGCGACGGAGGGAGGCTGGCCGGGGAAGGAAGGAGGAATCTCCTGACAGGGAGAACTGTTAACCCGTGGAACTATCTGCCTCCAGAAGCTGTGAATGCTGCAACACCGGAGGTTTTAAAGAAGAGACTGACAGCCGTTTGTCTGAAATGGTATAGGGTCTCCTGTCTGAACAGGGGGTTGGACTAGAAGACCTCCAAGGTCCCTTCCAGCTCTATACTATTCTATTCTATACTATACTATACCATACACTATACTACTGTACTGTACTGTACTG